GGATTAATTAAAATACTTTTTTACTATATAGGAATCATACTGCAACCTTATTTCACTTAATTAATTGACAAAATATTTAACAGCGGTGCGTAGTTAATAGTAAAAATGCATGTGCATATTACTCTGTATTACACGATTCATCTGTACACAATCATTAGAACTGAATTAATCACCGAAGTAGCATATTAAGCCAGACGCAATGGAACCTGCAAAAATAATGCTTGTGATAATTACCATATAATGTTTAGCTAAGTCTAGGGTTACTATTAAAATAAGTAATATTTTACCGAGTTTTCATATGGTTAGACACAACAGACTTGTACTATACTTTTTAAAGTAGACTTCAAATACAAGTATCTAAATCTGTGTAGGGCCCACTTACTAACCAACTAAAGCTAAAACTATTTATGTATCTTAATCCTTAGTTTCAATGCATTTTTAACAATTAATTTTAAAACTTCCAATTAAAATTACAATAATTAAATAATTTTACTATAGAGCCAAAAGGAACGTGTGTAGAACATACAGCGTAGCTACATTTTGCTACAAAAGTTACACATTTTAATATGTAACGAGAAAACATGCATATAAAATAAGTAAAAGAAACTTGAAACACAGTCACACTTTTAGATAATAATATGTCAAAAATCACCAAGAGATACAAGAGGTAAAAAAATTAAATTACCAATTCTATAATATACAATATCATAGCAATACAACTCCCAATAGGTATTAGAGTCTTATGGTAGTAGTTAGAGGAGGTTTCTTTTAAAATTTGATTTAGGTACGTACCTTGAAAAACTCGATTGCGAGCATTGGTCAATAGGAATTCCATTGGCTTGTTGTGTGATCTCACGTTTCTACGTTTTGATCGAAGCTTGTGTAAAAAATAAGTTATTATAATAACTGTTATTCATAATGGATATCATTCAGGTATATTGTTAGACTTTACCTGGATCTGACATTTCGATTCCGGTATGTAATCAGAAATATGATTGAAATATAATATTATTATATTCAAATGATTTAAAATACTCAAAGTCTGTTACTTCAAAGTTCAAAGAAACAAATTAAAATGCAAAATAAATAAATGCTGCAAATCGAATACTTTGTCACGAGTTAGCATTCAGCAGCCGTTGTCCATTGATAAAATGATACATAACCTCAAAAAATCTACAGAATCTGTATTGCGTATAGCATAGGTACTCGGGCGGGAAACACGACACAATGCCACTCAACACGTGTCAGGCAGGGGCAGTTTTTCCAAAAAATGATAAGAGATAAGAGTTCTTCCAATAGATAACACAATTTTTATTTTATCAGAGTGACCAACCACGAAACACTAAAATATAAAGTCACATTCTATCAGAATAAATATTAAATTTAATAATAAATATTGAAAATTTGTAAACTGTTGTGAAATTACGTCGATGATAGTCGGGAAAAAATGTGTAGTCAAAATTTTAAATACCTAGATTAAAAAAAAAACAGTACAATTTTTTTTTACTAAAACAAGTCATTAAACATTTGTAAATTTTGATGTTTAGTTTATAAAATATGCTTTTTTTAATTAAAAAATATCTTTATTTAAGTATCATAAGAAATTGTTTTATTTTAATCAGTGTCAATTCACTGATTAATATATTATGTATTAAATAATTGAGATATTTCTATATATTTTATACTATTTACCAGATTATTTGATGTGTCTTAAACTATTACATTTATTATTTCTATTATTACTATTTATTATTTGTTTTAAATGACTTGTCAAACTTTATGAATTGTACATTATAAACTATAAAATTAGTCTGAAATGTATACTATAAGCAACCTGTTAGACAGGAAGTCTATATTGTTTTTTAGAAATAAAAGTTTTTTCTTGGTTAACTAAATTATGTAATGTTGTGATTCACTAATGTTCTCTCATAATAATTTCAATTAGATCAAATTTTGTTTCAAAACATTTTTGTTTGTGTTATTTTACAACTGAAAACATGTTTTAGTAACCACTTACTTTTTTGATAACTTTATATTAAATAATATTTAATTATGATAAAGATTCTAAGCTTATTTAGTATATTGTATATATTTTTTTATTATTTTATTATTTAGAAATGCATTAGTTTTTGACACAATAAAGTAAAAGTAAACCAAATGTATTTTTTCTAAATCTGTTCGCATAGACACGTTTACTCTCGATAGCAAGTGATTTGTATCTGTATATTGTATTAAGGGGGCTCCATACAGACCATTTTTAAGGTGTTTTGTATAGGCAATATTTAAGAAAAAATAATGATTATATAATGCGTTCAAATGAAGGATGTTTAACACTCTCTTTGTTTGAGTATACAATGATGTGTTTGATATACATTTTATTATAAAGTCTAGACACCGTAATAATAATTATAGATTCTACAAATAAATAATAAGTTTGCCTTAGTAAGTTTAACCCAAAACAATAACTGCTATTGCCTAATACATATAAATAATGTCTTGATAATAATTGAATAGTCTTATAACATAATCTATATTTTTGATATTTTTATTTTAGTCAGTTATCAATGAATCAAGGTATATAACTATTTTCTTTTTTAATAGTAACGCAGTTACATCTTATATGAATCATAATTCATGAAACACAATTTTCTATCTCTACACAGTTTTGACCTATAAACTTTTAAGTTATCCACATTAAAATATCTACTAGTTTGATCTAGTATTTCTAACCAAAACTATGGAGGTATAAGATATTCCTAACTCAATTATACCTTTTTTAATGATAAATAAAAATGGGATTTTCTAATCTGTTTTTAAATGTTCACTTGGTTAAAATAAAGTTAACCAGACCGCTTGATATCCAACCTTTTAATTTTTGATTTGATAATTTTATTATATACATATTAGTGGAATTGGAAATAGCCTTATTAATTTCCCCATTATATATGTCCATACGTCTGTATAATTTAAATTTTCACAACTTGACCAATCTTAAGTAAATATTAACATACTTAAATTAGTCATATTATAGCTTATTAAATTTGTTGTGGGCAAAAAGAACTTTAATAGCAGATCTCGACGAGAACGAGATAATAGCATATACTTTCAAATATGATGAGATGCTGCAACTTGCATTTGTATCTATTTATTTTATAATATGTATTATTTCTATTTTTTTTATAATATAAGAAAAGTATACATTTCTTAATAAATGGCATGTAGACAGAATTAATAACAGAAAAGTCATATTATCACTGAAAATATTGGTTTTAACGTTTTTTCTTTATACTGGGTTTACATACATATATTGCCAAAAAAAAAAAGAAAATCGAGTTTATGCCAACTCCTGTTTACAAGTCAAGATAAATTACTATAATTAAAATCATTAATTTAAAACAAATGCTATTTTATTTTTATTTTTTTTATATAGTCTGATAGCGATAAGTCACTGGGTAGGTTACCCATACTTAATTTATTTACCCAATTCCCAAAACCTTTTTTTTTTTAGTTATCTATTGTCAGGAAAATTAGTAACATTATTTTTTTGCAGAAACTATGTATAGTTGCATACGTTATATTTATTATTATTTTGTTTGTTTAAAAAGCATTTCTGGTAACTTTTTTGATAAAAACATACTAGTATTCCAAGCAAGCTACATACCATGTATTTATGTAAAACATTTGAGTAGTATAATTAAACGATATTAAAGCCACTTTTATAATTAATCATATAGTTTACACTTTTTAGAGTTATTCGTTAACAAATATCTTGAACGATTCATAGAATAATTTAATCGCCTTTTTGTCAACTATACGGGCATTTTAAATTGAAGCAAAGATGATTTTTTATTTGCTTTAGCTCTGTTCTCATAATATTCTCAAAACGTTGAGGGACTTTGACTAAATATGCTGTACCTAATTGTTGTTATTCAGCATCTATTCTATATCCTTTGCAACTACCAAAGGCCATCATATCCTTTTAATAAATCTAATGACAGGTTTTGATTCATACAATTGTATTACATTTAATTATTAAAGTAGAATTCCTCATTTTTTACTAACTACATCTCCTAGTTTATATCTACACAAGCTTTAATCACTATTTCTTAGTATGACATATGTTTCATGTTTGTTTTAGCTCCCATATAGGAACACGATATTTGATATTGTAATATTAGTCTATTATTCCAAGTCAAAAGTAATGCATTGATCAAAAAGTGTATTTTATTCGTCCGGTGAAAAATAACTAATAGGTATGCTTATTAACGATTCAGAGCTAGCTAAATAAAACAACTGATTCAGAATTTGGACAACTGCATGCCAAGATTAGCAGATCAGTATTTTATTACACATAACCATGAGTGCTTAAGTTTTTTCTAGATCAGTATAAAGCTACAATTAACTTTATGAAATATGTTGGACCCATTAAAGAAAGCCATTGTTTGCAATGGATACCCAGACATGACTATTGAGTATATTTATATAGATTTTTTTTATTTAAACCTAAATGATACAACCTGTAAATATTATTTTCCAATAAATATTAGACCTAATTGAGAGAATACATCACGAATAGCTTGTGCGGAGAAACAACAAATTAAAGTAATTGCATCCAATAAAAAATTCTATCAAACGAATTTCGTTTACTTATACTTAACTGTACAGTCCCTTACTTGTACCTTACATGGAATAGTAATATGTATAATGTTGTAATTGTAACGGTTTCAAGTCAAGATTTTTCAATCAAACTATTCGCGTACAATCAAAATAAAATATGTTTACAAAAAAAAAAAAACCAAAACAAAATGTTGTTCAAATAATATTGAAGGACAGCGTATATTCGAATGATCTATTTTCAATGGTAAAAAAACTACTACGTTTGCACAACATATGGCACCTATTTTACAAAAAAATGTCTTCTACTGCGAGACGTTCAAATATTATTCTCCAACGTTGTCGACCCAAACATAATAGTTCAACGCATTCGATCATGAGGTAAATAAGTGTTTTGTTTTTTGAAATTTCTATGATTGACACAGTACAGACAGAACGTCTAGACTGCAGACCTCGGAATGGAATTATTTGAACTATACAAATATCGCAAAACAAACATTTCATACATTGCATAGGTCACCTTATTTGGATTTTACCGTGATAACGGTAAAAATTCAATATAAGCACAATGGCAAGACCTAAAGACGACCACATCCGATCAGTCAGAACTTAATTCAACAACCTAATCCAATTCTTCGGTTTGGTACCTACCGCCAACGTTAAATCATTTTAAGTAAGTTTCACTGTTGAATTTTGGTAAGACGGTTTATTTAGACTTAAGTGATTATTATTATTATTAGGTATCACAATTTATAAAATAATATTTCGATTATATTTCATAATAAACAATTTTTTTTTGTCATGTACCTAGTTATTCACTCGAACCAGATTAAATCTACTTTTTTTTAAATAAAAAAAACAAACAAGTAGGTACAATACATTTGCTTTAAATAACCTTTTTATTTTAGAAAAAATATTAATTTAAACAGTTTCTTTTTTATTGGACGGTAATGTAAAGAAATGTCATTAGGTAAAAATTACTTTTTCATCAAGTTGATCTCAAAAATAATAATTAAAAGTCATTAGGCTACTGTGTGTTCTAAATATTGTCTTTTCAGCCTTTTTTACATACAATTCTATTTATAATCCATAATCATTGATAATTTAGTGTTGTTTATTAGTCCTTGGGGATCATAGTTGTCGAATAAATAAATAATCGATTGGCAACTGTATGTGGTAATATGAATATATAGTTGTTTTTTTTTCAGATAAAAATGAAACTTTTTTGTGTTTTAATGCCATTTGCCTTTGTTAATGTTTTGGCATTAACCGAAAGTAAGTTTCACGGTTTTTTTTATTGAAATACACACATACCTATTATTTACAAACATTACACTCATAAAACGTTTCATAGATAATCTTACTTTTTATAAATTTTGAATAGTTTTATAAATGCTACACTTATAAATAATGGTTGTCTATTAAACTATTTAACCTTTTTTTTTTTTCAAGCGGACTATAAGAAGCAAGTATACATTTCAAGTCAGTATAACCATTAATTACCTATTTATCCATTAAAATACAATTTAAAGTTATCAGTTACATTTTTTCACATATTTTTTTTACCATTTAAATTACAGACTACTTCTTCGAATCAATACAACGATATGGAAGTAAACAATTTTTTTTTAAAAATTGAATCTTGACTTTACAATAATTACTGGAATGCAAATTCTATTGTATAACATTACAAAATAAAGCTAGCACAGTGAGGCCTCTCTGTAGTACACTGTTGGAGCGTAGAAAACGAATCTCCAAAGATCCGTTTCCTTTTCCTTGGACCCGAGGACTATTAGGATATTTCTAATTTTTTAAATACACCATCGTCGAATAGAATTTGGAATAAAGTAGAATTGCTTTAAATTTTGTTTAGAATATATTATTTAGATATTTAAAATATTTCAATATACAATTTAAAAACAAATAATTTACAAAGAGGTCTTACCGCTTTTGAATCCAGAAGGGTGGGACACTTTTTTTTATTCACTTTTGATTGTAGTTTTAGACTTAAAATGTAAAATAAAAAAACAAGTGTGAGTCTGTGCATAGTTAGTTGGTACATTTAACAAAACTAACCATCCTTGGAATCGTTGAAAAATGATTTTATAACGTTAGAGAACTACCTATATATAACCTCCCCGACCTCCATGTGCTGGTATCTTTTTTTAAATTATATTTACATAATTATATAATATAAATATACACCATTTAGAAACATGTGTTTTTTCAGCTAATGTGGACGAATCGGTCAGAACTTTAATACGTTCGAACATTTCAATTAGTAAGCATAATATTATTAATTATTATAATAGTCTACGTTTTTCCAATGACTTTATGAATAATTGTTTTTTTTTTTCATTTTTATTTAAAATTTCAACAACTTTTCCACATTAGGAGCTTAGGGAACTCGCTATTTTCTTAAGTGCACCAGCTATATACCTTAACTTTTATAATTTATCTATTGATCTATTTAGTTGATAAGTACTATATTGTGCAGTGTTACACAACTTGTAAAAAAATATATTTATTTGTATTTAATGTGGTCACACTGTCGTCTCGCCTTTTCTCTTACATTATAAAAAAATATTATGATATTACACAGCTCTATATAAAAATATTTTAAAATTTTTTTTTTTAAATTTCAATGACTTTTCCACATTAGGAGCTTAGCCAGTTAGGCTATCTTCTTAAGTTCACCAGCTATACACCTTAACTTTTTATTAATTTCAGCGTCGTTGGCTTTGATGTTGGCCGCGCCAGGTAATATATTATGATTCAGACATTATATTATATTTTTTTATTATTATGGAAGTTTTTTTAACAGATAAGACCGACATTTACTATTAATATTAAAATTAAAATGCTGATCAACATATTTGTTGATATTTTAGAAAACGCAGACACTGACGAGGACGATTTGCAACGTAACTATTATTTTTATGTATTTTACAACCAATATTTGTATTTTGTAACGTCAAGTAGTCCTTAAATGTTTTTGTTGCTTATAACTGGTAACAATCATTCCATCTTGATTCCTGCATAAAGTATTTTTTTTTAATTAATTTCATATCTCGATTCCAACATGGTACTCAATAACGTTTCATTTGTTTTCAAATTTGTTTTTTAATTGTTATATGGATTAAGACACGCCCCTCCCGCTATTGGAGGTAAATAAAAGTCATTTGTATAAAATAATAAATCTGGTCGATGAGATAATAATAATAATATGTAATAATTATAATGAGATTATAATATGTAATACTACTGTTTAAGAATAACCAAGATAGGCGTTTCTATTTGAACGTTTATCAGCTATTTATTTCAAATCGAGGAAGGATTATCGTTAACTGTTACTCAGTGGTGAATAAACTTAACAAGTTTTTGTATTTTCTATTTCAGAATTGATAGACGACGAGAAAAAAATACAGAATAGAATAAGATATGACCACGGTAAAAATGTGCACCGAATATAAATTTTATAAAACCATTACACGTGTTACATTGGTAAAGTACCAGCTAGATCCTCTGCAATTATTTAGATCTTCACTTATATTGTACAAATCTCAAGAACTAAAACCTAGACAAGCTTTACTGGGGACCTAGGGGTCCTTTTGCTGTTATGGTACTCAGGCCTACATCCCTAATTCAAGTACTGACCGTTTATTGTTTAATTTGATTAATTCTTGATTTATTTTCTTTACAGAAGTAGTAGATTGCAATGTCTCGGGCATAAGTAATATGATAACAAATTATTGAAACATTTAGAAAATCACTTATGTTTTGATCGATTTCGGATGCGAAAGGGAGTGCTTTTTTCCATTTTCTTCTTCAACGATATGTTCCTTTTTACGATTTGTGATTTATACACTGAATATAAGTATATTATCCGAAGGGTGGTCCACAGTTATTTCACAGACAAAAAAATCAAAATTAATTTGAATAAAAAAACATTAATTTGTAAACCAAAACTCTCTCAGCTTCGCATCGATACTCGAACAAAATAATGATAAAGTTAATAATTGTTTAACTTCTAATCGATGTTTACATATTGTTGTGTTTTATAATTATTTCAGATTTCAATAACAAGTCTTTGACGTCTATGGGCTGGACCAGAAGAAGTATAACTAAGCCGTCTTTAAAACGTTTACTTGTGGGAGTAGAACGTAAGTATAACCCACGTGGTCGCAACAAGTAAAATACATTTTTACATTGTGAAGTAAGCGAAATGGCGAGATGCAGTGCAGATTTTTATTTTGCTTCATTTTTGACCAACGCCTAACTTGAAAAGACCCTAATGTAGCAGAAAAAAGAAAACAATTAAACACCAGACTACATTAGTCTGGTTGTCTACTAGTTTGTCCTCTTTTACGCTCCAAACTAAATCTCAAGCTCAAATTACTCATTTAAAAAATCATAATAAATTCAGCTCAAACCCAAACCCCAGTAAAAACTACGATGCAGAGACCTCCTTTAAATAAAACTTTCACTCTAAAATAAAGTAGGTAGCTCCATTGGGTGCCCCCCTCACACATCATGTCATAATGTTCATGTTGTGTTAAAACTCACCATTCTCGTTATTACTTGTTGTGCATATTTGTGTAGTTATAAATTCTTTATTCAAGAAATAAAAAATTTGCTTCACCGCGCAGAAACCATGTGATACAGAACATCATGTGACCTACCAGGCACAATATTATCACATTATGAAATTCGAATTTATCTATTGATCTTTTTAGTTGATAAGTACTATACTGTGCAGTGTTTCACAACTTGTAAAAAATTGTTTTGTATATTTTGTATTTTAAGTGGTCACACTGTCGCCACTCGCCTTCCAGTTTACATCATAATATCATGATGTTACAGCTTTATGTATTTTTACTCTGTGATGGTTACCGTGTCAAGTTTTCCATATTTTTTAATAATATATTGTGTACAAATTATTTTTCAAAGGTGGATACCAAACTCAGTTCGACACACAGCAAACGTGTCGTTTAATAGCGTTGTTGGTGATTGCAAAAGATCCAATAAAACGCATAACTTTTACCATTGCCATTGCAGTCGACGGGTACCGCGATTGTCATCTTACTGACAATTTTTCTGTTGAGGAAATTTACAGAAAGTTCAGCGACGGATTCTGGAAAGTGTTAAAGTCTAATCATAATGTGAAAATTTACAAACTCACCTAACCTACATAATTATTGTAGAAATGTGTTTGTTATAAAACGACATTGCAATATAATGTGCAAACGTGCAAACTACCATACAAATATTAGTTTAGATGTCACTGCATCAATTGATTTTCAATACGCATCTAATGTACTTGATATATTTTTACTGTTTTTAATTTGTAAACATGTTTTTCTCTATTAATAAACATTGTTTTTATTACTATGTTTAACGTGCAAATCCCTCGAGTCCGGTTCGCACTTTATTTGCATATACACTTTAATTTTTACCTCTTTTTTGGCAGCCAATAGCTAACTTATAAACTAACTGTGACATGTTCTAGAATAATAGCTAAAATAAAAAAAAACAATTGTATGATTAATTTCGGGACCAGTATAAAAATTTAATGTAAAACAAAACAAAAATTATAAATACAATTTCAATTCGGAACACTTTATGTTTGGTAGATTTGCCATCACAGCTATTAAATACTTTTTAATTTTGCTAGCAGTGATTGAAGAAAATAATCATTAAAAAGAACACAATTTATAAGAATTATTATTTATTTATATATATTAAACGGGTTTTTAAAACCCTTTAGCGAAATACAAAATGTTTGGGTGTACATTTATACTGAACATTTTCAATTAGATTAACATGCAAAATATAGTGCGGTGACCAGACAATTGACCCAAACTCAAGATTAGACCTAACCAGGGAAAAGTATAAAGTTTTCAAAGCGTTGGTATTTTTAAAATTGATCGTACTTCAATTAATAAAATCCAGCATCTTAAAAGATTTTTTAATAAAAGTGTTGATGTGGATGGAAAATTCCGTGTTAAAATGAAAGAGAACCCCTAAGTCTCTAATTAAAGTGACTCGCGTAACTGAATAATTATCAATCGTATAATTGTAGGTAATTATGTCATTCATACGTGAAAACGTAATAACGCTACACTTATTTATATTTAACGGAAGTCGATTAACACGACTCCAAACAACAAATTTATCCAAGTTTGATTGTATTTTAAGGCATTATTCGGAGATTTAATAGCTGAAAATAATTTGGCATCGTCGGCAAATAAAAGAATGTCAACCGAGCAATCAAAACTGGAATGCAGATCATTAATAAATAATACAAATAAGAAAGGACCTAAGTGAGACCCTTGAGGAACACCAGAACTGACCAAAAAATCGTTAGAAACATAACTAGAAATGTTTACTGCCCGAGTACGCGAACATAAGTAAGATTTCAACCAATTAAAAAATTGTCCATGGATACCAAAATAAGATCATTTATATAAAAAAATGTTATGATTTACTTTATCAAACGCTTTTTGGAAATCAGTATAAATAGTGTCTAATTGGACACGCTCATTTAGGACCGAAATCTTCGTCTGATAAATTAATAAATTAGTGGAAATCGACATCTTGGGTCCGAAACCATGTTGGTTTTTACATATGAAGGAGGACATAATTTAAGACAACTTTTTAGTAATTAGTGCTTCAAACATTTTTGGAATAAGGGACATTTTGTAAATCGGTCTGCAATTAGTAACATTATGTTTATCACCTGATTTATGCACTGGTGTTACAAAAGACCTTTCCCAAATGTTGGGAAAATAACCCAAACTTAATGATTTGTTGAAAATCAAATGAAGCGATTGTACAAGTACTGAGCTACAAGATTTTAAAAACATAGGTGGTACATTATCAGGTCCAGTTCCAGCATGAGTATTTATAGAATTTAAATAATCAAAAATTTCATTAAGATCAATAGTCGAGGTGCTTAAATTCAAATCATTATTAGACCCATCAGTTGGGAGAGAGACTTCTCCATTAAACATAGGAAGATTCGGTATATAAACACTGGAAAAATAATCTGTAAATAATTAGGCTGTTTCAGAAATATCAGAAGAAGATTTATTATTATAATTAACGCAGTCAGGTATAACATTGTTTGATTTCTTTAAAGAATTAACATAATTCCAAAAAGGTTTGATATTTGTTTGTATACTATTTTCAATATTAGAAATATGTTGAGCATGTCATATAGTAATCAAGTGTTTGCATCTGTTTCTGAGATTAGAAAATTCTAGATCCAAACAGGGAAATAATTATTATATATTTTTGTTTTTGGTACAAATAAATTGAAAGAGTGATAGATAATTTCATAAAATGTTGCTGTAAGTGCTTCAAATGATGAATTATTATTTAGATTAAGATCAAAATCAATGTTCGAAATAAAATGAGAAATTTCATTAAAATTTAAGTTTATAAAATTGTAAACGAACGGAGACTCCAAGTGTTCATTAACCAATGCGTTGTTAAATTTTATAAGAAAATCTAAAGGTGGGTGATAATCATCAATTTTAGATACAAGAGATTCTAACGAATAAAATATATTATAAGTTCAGCATCAGCACTAATCATTATACAATCAAGAGTTCGCGACAACAATTAAGAATGCGATTAACTTGCTTCAAATTTAAGTAATTTATATAACAGTTAAATATTAGGGAACCTGAAATATGATCTTGAGTAATTGGATCAATAGACCAGTCAAAGTGATTTAAATTAAAATCACCTGTATTTATAAAATTATAATCAGGGTAATTATGATATATAGACTCAATGACCTCACAATGTTTAGAAAATATATCAATAGAACTAGCTGTAGGAATATAAATAAATTATACAACCTATAATTATTTTAATATTATTGTAAATAAATTTCAAAAATACTTGCTCAATGCCCAAAACATTAGAGACATGTAATAATTCACAACTATTTTATATAAATGAATGTGATAAAAGCTACTTAAAAAAAACCTATTAACCATTTAATATAATATTGATTTTACTGGATATTTTTTTTAGGCTAGACAAGTATAACTTTAAAAAAATTAAAATCTAGCCTGACTGATTTAGTTATTTCAATTTTTTGATGCTTAGGCATTAATATAAAAAACAAAAAAAAACATCATACCAGTTTATGTGTCGGACCACTTAGGTTGGGTTAAGTTAGGTTAGGTTAGGTTGGGTTGATTGAATCACACTAGAGTGAAAAAAGTCAATTTGTTCACCACAAGTCGTTAACTAACTTTCCTACCCCGGGTGGAGTAACCCAGGCAGGTCATTTGGGTCTTTTATTTTATAAATGCTATTTTATGGATGTTGCTTGCTGTATGTTGCCCCATTTTACCGTGAACCACTCAATGTCTCATTTGGGTTTAATTATTCATGTTTGAATTTTTAGGGCTTTTATTCAAAATGTGATTTCAATTTTCCACAATTTTTTATGTTCCTAGTTTTGAAACTGTTTTATTCTACTCAGTGGACTGTATACGAAAGAAATAAACAAATAAAAAAATTCTATGTAATGCTTTAAAAACTACTTCTCTATTGAAGTGATAATAATAACAGTGTATAATTCTTACCATCTGGCCATCTGGCTACTAACAATTAAATAATTATTAATAAAAAATATATACATACAGTAATGACACAGCATGAATGTGAATCGTTGCTAACAATGACTAAAATGACAATAATTCCCTGACCTGATACCCAATGCTCATAAACGATGTCGACTACTCTGACTGCCCTCAGTGGAGACCAGACTGCAATGGATGATGAAAGTGAAAGTGATCGCTAACAATTACCTCGGCGGTAAAACAATAACAACAGCTCAATTATAGATAACTATATAGTATATTAAGAAGCAGTAACAAGCTAGTATATTAAAACATCAAGTTTCTGGCTAATATTGTAGTGTTTAATATCTGGCTTAAAACAATTCACAGAGAATTTGAGCCTTAAACTATTTTGAATTTATCATTTAGTTCTAATTTGAATGTTAAACGTACAACATATCTCTCACCCCCTATCTCCCACCCCCTATCTTTCACCCCTATTTCGCTTTTTTGGTAACGCTTTTTTCGGTTATATTAAATTAAAAAAGTAACAAAAAAAAAATTAATCAGTTACAAGTTATTATTGATTTAAACACAAGTTGAATTTACAAAAATATTAAAAGTTGTAGACATTTTTACACGAATTATAAAATGGAATAATAACAACATAATAATAACAATAAGGTAAGTACAGCTTATAAATTACTTGAACACAAGTTGAATTTATTGTACTTTATCGGTCTAAAAATTAAAATACAAAGATATTGACACTTGCACGCAAAACATATTATACGGAACACTTGGCGGTGAAATAATTGCTAAACATTTTTTTTTTTTATTGACTTAAAATTTTATTTGCAATCTATAAACGCGTTTGTGAACAATAAGCAAATTTAATTAAGTCATATACATGCGGTGCGAATGGCGACGGAGCAGGAGGAGGAGGGAAGACACATCCGTCCAACGAACTTATATGACACGTGTACGGTTTTTCCCACTTGCTTTGTCATCTGTATTGGCTTTACACGAATAGGTACCTACAATATTACTATTTTCTCGGATGAACATAGTGCGTTGAATCGAGTGAAACAATTAATATTCATATGGACGACACTCTGTTACACCTCAGCAACGTCAATCGGTTCTGCAGTGAGCAAGTCTAGCAAGTCCATACCTATAAAATGATTGGACGATCACTTTTGTTGGTGTATCCGTTGTTTTACTGCGTTTGCACAGTTCTCGAGTGCTCGGCCGGATATCCGGGATGGTCTTCAGAAGGAGACAACGCGTCAAAGCTGAACGGTATACTCAAGACGGAAGGGTGGAAGCAAGTGGTAACACTAGCCCTGGGTCGAGAATTAAAATATGCCAATGGCAGCAAATTGGACTTGTCTGATCTACTGGCAAAAGGTCGGGACGGCAATATCGTCACGCCGGCCAACTACACCGACAAATTGATGAAATCTTCGACCGCCGTCAATTGCTTTTACGGCGAGAACGTCAAGTGCATAAACGATTTCTTCATCGACATACTAGCCGAGAAATGCACGGCGTTGGCACTGGGCGAACTCACGTTGGACTGCGTGGAAAGGTATTGGCAGACGATGCACATCAACAAGTCGCTGATCGAACAAATGCTGGTAGTGCTGAATTTCTTCCACAACGCTTCCAGCACAATGTGCCCGAGAACGGTGATCGACGTCTTGGAGAGCCTGTTGCCGCACTACGACCGCCGGGTGTACCACAAGTCAAACTACTT